TATTTTCCATTTTTCCATTTTGTCAATACCAGTTTGGACTTTGGAGTCCATTCGGCCCAACAAACTGGCTCATCCTTTCCACTCACAGACACACCACACTATACCCACGCGAAGGAGAAAAAGTTCCTCTGCAGAGGAGAAGACAGCTCCACCGTCATCCATGGACTTCTCTGCGCTGAACGACGCCTTGGCCTCCAAATCTTACGACCAGATCGCCGACATATGCGACACTCTCATGCTCCAGGCAATACAAAATCCCCGTAGTATTTTCCCAAACTTTTCTCCAAACCCTAACTCTTTCTCACTGCACGTTCTTTTGATTTCATTAGGTCTCCTCTCAGGGGGTTATTTTTCAAGATGAATGGCCTTACGCCATCCACCTTCTCGGCCATATCTACATCAATGACATGTAATTTTTCATGCCACCGACTCATAAAGGAATATGTTTGTTTAGTATCTATTTACATTTCGTATTTTTTATTTGAGAGAGTGTTGTGGGCTTTTAGTGGGTTAGGATTTGACTTGAATAGTGATAATGATGGTTTTTTGTTCTGGGTACGATGCTGCAGCAATAGCGCGAGGTTTTTATGGAAGAGGATACCATTGGCAGTGAAAGAGAGCCAGCCTGAGGTGGTAGCAGCTTGGAAAATTGGGCAGAAGTTGTGGGCAAGGGATTATGCTGGTGTTTATGAAGCAATTCGCGAGTTCAACTGGAGTCCAGAGGCTCAGGGCATTGTTGCCTCTTTTTCAGGCAAGTGTGCCTAGACTATATATCTGCAGTACGAATAAATTGAAATTAATTGTTTCATATATGATTTATCGTCTGGAAATAATCTTGAAGTCAAACTGAACTTGGTACTGTGGTTTCATTGATAATATTACTTGACATCATGATGTGATGCACGTTTAATTATTAATTCAAACCCACTAAATAGATTAAGCTTTTGAGATTTTAGGTATGACTTATGAGGTATATAGTTTAGCAGAGCAATTGCGTATTTTGATGAACGTGTGCTCAGTCCCTTAAGAGAAACGCAATCTGAACTTGTGAGAACTAATTTAAGACTGAAAAAGGAAGCTTAAATGGGTGTCAAACACAAGCTTAGCAGTCTAGTACAATTCTTCACAGTCTGCTGTTGTTTGATTTCTCATTGGGTTATTGAGTTTCCACAATGGGCTTGTGCAATGAGTATAATAAAGCTACAGAATCAGACCCTTAGTTCAGACAGGTGATTTTAATAGCCATGTCTGCTGCAAACAGCCTGCTCGTGAATTAGCAACTATTTTGGTGGAAAACAATACTATGTTATCAGTGGCCAACAAGACCATTGACTGTCCTCATCTCGCGTATGCAGGTTATGATGTTCATTAAAACTAGCAATCAATTAACTATTGGATATATAATTTGTGAAGGTGGTGTCATTTCTGGGTCAAGTTTGATGCCTGCACATATTCTGATTTTACTGCTCATTTATCCGTTCTTTGTTCTTCTACGTGACACACACAAGCACAATCACAATCTCACAGATGCAAATTTAGGATGGAAGAATGAAATACAGAACTTTCTGATTCTGCATGAAGTTAAGGATTGAACATAGTGCTTTTTCAATATTTTTAGCATCACCATACTTTTTCATGCCATATCACTCTGTTATACAATTATATGGTAAGGTGATGACTAAAATGTAGTGTACATCAGAAACAGAGAACTAAACTAGCCAGTTAGAGAACTAAAAATACTGGAAAGATGCATCAGTTATGTAAAACATAGGGATGTGAAAATTGATGTGTGGAGTATGAGATTAAGGAGGGTTGCAGTCCCATAAAATATTATCTGATACTCTATTTATAACCATTGTTTAATAAAGCTTTTTTGAGCCTTGCTCCTTGAAACCCATCTCACTTGAGGCTATTGTGAAATACCTCAAAACCTGCTCTTTGAGTGGCTTACGCTTCAATTTAGTAAGGCTCACACCTCAGGGTGGCTGAGGCATGTGCTCGCTTATGTCATCTTTTTTGGGCATTATATTGCTGCCCTCAAGTCTTTGAGCTATTTTCTTCATTTTATGGGTGATTCTATTGTTTTTTTAATGCCTTGGAAGGGGAAGGGGAAGGGGATGGAGAATGCAACAATTGAAGGATGGTATGAAAGAATGAGTAAAAATAGAGAGTGATGGAGGATGATGAGTCATGAGTGAACCAAATAAATGATTCTTGTAAGGATTGTATTATTAGCGATAATATAGGAGATTCAATGGTGGACTGGTGGTGCAATTTTGTTGTGTCATCACAAGGCGGGAGCTTATTACATTGGATATTTTTTTTGAACTATACTACTTGTACAATGAATTTGACAATAAGTTTGATAGTGTATGAGTTGGCAGACATTCTGTCCATTGATTTGAAATATTATTTTTGAATTCAATGACAATGTGAATTATGCTACTTGTATAATGAATTTAACAATATATGAATTAGCAGACTAATTGTCCATTGATTTGAAAAATTATTTTTGAATTCAATGGCAATGATCTATACACCTCACATATTATCAAAATTATTGTGCAAATTCATTGTACAAGTAGTTTAATTCATTCTTTTTACACCTGGTCATAGAAATTTACTAAAAATCATGTTTGTCATGAGGACCATCTACTTTTACTTTTTCATCATTAATTCCTTAATGTTTGGCAGGGAGGAGTGTCCATAATGATTTTTTGTGCTGTTTGACTTGCGATCCTGGACACCTGATTTTAATTTTATTTTGTAATCTGAGTTTCCTGCAGAATTTTACACAAAAAAGATGTTTGAGCTGCTGGTTTCTGCTTATTCTACCATAAGCACACAAGATACCGCTCTTTTCCTTGGACTGAATGCTGATGATGCTGCAAACTGTAACCTCTCATCCTTTTTCACATGGCCTATAACATTTGTGCACATTTAAAGCATGATGCTTGTTTAATGCTGCAAGTGGAATTTCTTTCTATTGAGGTTGAAATAATTTGCAAATCAGTGACTGTGCAGGTAGAATTTTCAATTGATCATTATAATTATCTGGTGGAATAATGTTGATTGATAGAGAGAATTCTAATGTCACCGTTGACACTCCCCACCATGTATATAATTTTCATTTCCCTATCTTTTATTCTTTAGATAAAGTAATTTTTAATGTTTCTATATGGTCTTTCGTTGACCTTAAACTCTTACCAACCTTGAACTGTTGAAATATGGCACCGTAATCAGCTTGAATGCAACTCATCCCCTGTACATGAAATTGGTGGAATGGAAATTATCGCTACTACTATAACTTGTGCTGACACTTCTCGGTAACTTGCAGATGCACTACAACGTGGTTGGACCTTGGATCTCTCCTCTCAAATGCTAACCGTGAAGAAGCAGGTTGTTGCAACAGAGCAGAAACTGGATTCCAGTAAATTACAGCGCTTGACAGAATATGTTTTCAACCTTGAGCATTAATCCTTGACACTCGAGGCATATATCAGTTTTGATCAGCTCTGGATGGTGTAAAACGACAAAGTTTTTGTTCCAAAACCTTAAGTTGTTTATCACTCTTCACTGTTATCGTTAATCAAGCCCACGGATGCATTTATAGCTCTGGCAAGGCATTCAATTGCTTGAAGTGTATAAACTCAAATGTGATTAGTTCATTTCATTTTTGCTTCAAATGTATTTTCAGTCAGTTAATCAGATGGCTGACTCTGTTGAAATGTCTAGTTTCTGGAGCGACGACGATAACCAGATTGTTAATAACAGAAGCTGCCTATAAGTTTATGCATGAAGTATTGCTAATGTGAAGATGTGACCCTTCTTGAGGGGACTCGGAAAGAATATGGTGCAATTGTGACCCCTAAAAAAAAAAAAACCAAAAGTGGGGTGGTCCAAATAAATAGTAAACGACAAAGAATATCGAGTAGGGCACCAAGTTCTCCCAATAACGTTATACGTGGTCATCATACGAGGTGTAACCTAATTCGAGGAACTCTCTGAACCCTCCTATGCATGCAGGGTTAATTATTCTCCAACCTTTAAAAAAACAAAAGAAAATTAAAACGTTTTTGATTGTATTTATTTTTCATGAAAAATATCAATTTACCATCCAAATTTTTACTTTGAAATATTTGATTGTTATTTTTTCTATAGAAAATATTTTCTAAACTTTAAAAAATATGCATAATTTTTCTTGTTTGTAAGAAAATCATTTTTTTTAGGGAGAGTAAATATTTGTTTTCGAGGAAAATATTTATTTTTGTATCAATCAAACATGCAAAAGGATTAGAAAATTAACACGTTTCTTCGATGATAGTTTCTTCTAGTAAATTAACTGAAAATGAATTTTAAGAATTTTCCAGACCCTTCCCCCATCTTCTCCCCTGAAGACGAGCACATAATAGTGCGTGTTACTATGTGTGTTGATTCCTCCAGCACCCAAATTATTGCTTATTTGAATGCCAAAAAACCAACTTTGCGACGAGCAGAAAGAGAAACAAAGAAATAACACAAACAATCAGAGCTTGTTTGGCTAACTTCATATTTTATTTTTTATTTTTACTGTTTGTTCATCTTCTGTACATTTACTTACAGCACTTCTCTAATCCTAACAGGAAAAAGAAAAGAAAAAAAAAAGGAGGAAATTTTCTCTAGGTCTTCAAAAGAGGAAACTATGGGGGCATTTTTCAATTCCTGAATTTCTTACCACGGTTCTTGATGATCACAGGCTTCGTAACGCTGTACAGATCAACAATTGATCTATATCTAGCTTTTCTTTTGGGGCACGTCTTCAGTTCTCTGATAAAGATGGAGGAAATTTCATTAGAATCCCCCACGCTTTCCTCTAGGTGTTGCTCCACCGATTTGGTGGCGTCGCGGCCACGTTTTTCTTTGCTGTAATCAGAATCGCCGCTGAGTTGAATCAGTTGCAAGGCCGCGTCCATTTCTGGGCTAGAGACCATCTGGGGTTTCCTTGCGGACGGAGATTTCTTCTTCATTGAATTAAATTCATATATAGAAAGAGTTTTGGGATGAAATGGACTTACTTTTATAGGTTTCATAATTTTTTAATCTGTATGACAAAAATATCTGAATGAACCTCTTGGCAGCATATTTTTCTGATGGGCAAAATTGTCATTTCATCAATTCCTTAAGGAGTCATACAACACAAGAATGTGCTTTTGTACTCGACGGGACTTCTTGCATGTATATAAACTACGCAATTTTGCTACAGGTAAGGTTTGTTGTCGATATCGTGCGAGGTGACCAATATTTTAACTCTTAATTCTAACAATACTTAAAATAATCGACAACACAAATTTTGACAACATATATAATGTCAACAATAATGTCACCAAAGAATGCAAATAACATAATTCTAAACTAAAATTGTGCTCGGTGTACAATGTTGGATGACAGCATGTCCCGTATGACATCCGTATGACATGTGACATGTTCTCTTTTGACAGTTTGAACAACTTATTTTTTCAACTAACAATTTTTGTCAAAACATACTTTGTCAATAATGTTGTCATTCAACATTGTACAAATAGCTTAATCTTATAAACTATAGATTTATCGTACTGCAAAGAATAGTTCCAATTTTTGTATGTCTGGAAATTTTATTTTCATGACGGGCTACCGACTTCGAACCCAACTCGTATTCTTATCTTTTGAAATTCATATTTTCTCTTACTCTTATGCTAACAAAAAAAGACTAAAAAATTGTTGATTATTGGAAACCATAATTCTATAACATCAAGATCAATAAAACTGTACTCACAAAATAGACGTACGAGAATATGTAAGATTTATAGAGATTTGCCTTACGTTAGTTGCACAGGCCCGGTCCTGAGGCGAGGCAGATGAGGCCAGCGCCTCAGGCCCAAAGCTGGAGGGGCCCTCATTTTTTGGCCCCCAAAAATATTTTTTTTTCGGTCTGGCTCAAAATGGCCCAAATTGTGGCCCAAATTTTAATTTTAAAATGGTAAACAAATGAAGAGGCTCAGTATATATCTCCTTCGACCTTCCCTTTCTATAGACTGACTACAATACTACCGTCTACCCCAATCGCCACGCCGACGTCGTCTCCAGTCTCGTCTCTCCACTTTCCTTCCCTTTCTTTTCCTCCAGTACTGTGGGCCTGCGGTGACCGTCGACTGTGAAGTCTGTGATTGATGAATGATGAGTCCGATCCGAATCGATTCTGATTTCTAAGCAGGTAATTTTCTTTATAATGTTTTTTTAATTGTTTTTCCTTAATTTTAATTTAGACAAATTCCTACTGCATAGTTCCGAGTGGTATGATGTTGTTAGTTGGTAGGAAGGAGACTGTGAATGCACTAGAAAGTGCTAGAGTGAGATTCATTAGCAATTGCTAGGAGCTTCACCTCTCTTTTCTTCTCTCCATTTAGTCCTCTCAGATGTTTCTATTAAAACTAGCGTAATCAATTTTTATTGATTTCTGTTGCTATCTTTATAAATGATTAATTTTACTTAACAGAAATTTTCCGCTCTTTAATTGTATTTTTTGGAGCAAAATTCATGAAAGGTAATTTGTAAGTGAAAAATGAGTTGATTTGTTTTATTTTTATTTTTTTCCCAAGTATTCGTTCGGCCTTTATTGAGTAAGAGTTGAACTTATGTTTGTTTTAATTGAAAATAGTCTCCAGCTGACAAATATAATGCATTAGTGAAATGCATTTCTAAAAGTTCGTTTCTTGATAAACGTCCATGCCATTTTTGAATTAAACGGAACAATTAAGAATCACGATTGGTAAAAAATTGAATTGAAATTTGAATTGAATCATATCTTGTTCCAATTCTGAAGCTCGGTTTATGTCACCAAATGTAGGAGCCAGAAAAAAATATCTTCAATGTCAAAGGAGAATGGAAATAGATATCAGTAGAGTTTACTTTTTGTTTGATGGTTCTTTTTAGTGTTTCTATAACGGTTTCAAGGTGGAAATCAGATTTTAGTTACCAGCACGTTGGTTAATCATATCAAATGCTTCAGTAATGCAGTTGATCATGAATGATTAATGTTTTTGCCTCTAAAAAGTAAGGCGAATAGTATTTAACTGATTGTTTAAACTCTTGTCGGTTTTGTTACTTTATAATATAAATATTTTGTTCTTTATATTTGTTTGTTGTTCTACTATTCAGTTTTAAGTTAGTAACAGGATGCATAATACACCGTTGAATTTTGCATTTACGTTGATTCTGGGGGGCCCAATTTTCAGAGTTCGCCTCGGGCACCTCTACTATTCAGTTTTAAGTTAGTAATACGATGCATGATACACCGTTAAATTTTGCATTTACGTTGATTCTGAGGGGCCCAATTTTCAGAGTTCGCCTCGGGCCCCAAAAATCACAGGACCGGCCTGCGTTGCAGTATAATTCAATATAATGAATAGAAGATTACATTAAAAATAAAAAAATGTTGCATACCATAACAGAAATACGTACTGCTTGCGACGATAACTAAGCTCCTTTCCTTGACATAAATATGTATTAAGACCAATACTTTTTGTCATCGACAACTTCGAACCAAGGAGAGATCCAAGCTATTCTTAATACTATCAAACTCTTGAATCATTGTTACCATATTACTTGCTTAAGTAACAAATGAAAATCTTTGCAAATACAAATTAGAAAAGAATTAACAGTTTTTTTGTTTTGTTTTTCTGATATCAAAGATTACAGAAACTTACCAAGCAAGCAAAGCAAAATGAAAGATTAGTGCAAAAAAAGAACAAACGCGTATGCATGGATAACTCGCTTTAATCACGCTTATTGCTTAAGCTCCTAGCAACCAGTTCGTGTGTGTACAATTTGAAAATCAGGATTGACAAATGGTGATTTCGCTCTAGTAATCAACATTTCTTTTCATAATTCATCATTGCCTGGAACCTGTTCGAGATTATTACACACAGAAATATTGAGTGAACACATTATTTACCCTTTCCTCCACTGTGCCCTTCTTTATTTTCTGGGCCGTTCTCAGAAGTTTAAGCTTCAAAACAAGGAATTAAAATCACTGATAATGAGAAAATAAAAATAAAAAATGGAGAGCTTAATCCAAAAAGGATTATAATTAGTATTAAGTTGAGATAATTAATGTTACTAACAGCAATATCTCCATTACCTAGCCTTCCCTATTTCATCAGATAATCAACTTCTATATTCCAAAACCTCTTCTTTTCCCCCAATACAAACTTATGGGCATCTTCGATTCTTGGCTCGCTTGTGAGCACAAGTATTGATCAAAGGCTTTGTATTTCCATAAATATCAATAATGGACCTAAATTTCCTTTTCTTCCGGGGCAAAGCCTCTTCTGGCTCCGTACCATCGATTAAGTTCTCGTACTTTTCGCCCGCACGTTCTTCGACCTTTTCTTCTTGTTTGTGTGGGAAATTCAGCATATAAACACAATTACGAGCACCTTTGGTATCAGCATAATAATCTCTTCGGAATTGAATTAACTGCAAAACTGCGTCCAGTTCTTGATCTGTCAGCCCCCAATTCATCTGTGTTCTTTAGATACAATGGAGAGTGGTTGTGCGTATATTGTACCTCGGGTGGGGTCGGGTTGTGGTGGTGGTAAAGGATGTTAAGAGGAGAATCAGGTAATTTGGAAGGCTATAAAGTGGTGTGCTGTACGAATGGTTAGTTATGGTGAAATCACCGCCTTAGGATTAATACTTTAATTTAATCAAAATCCATCTCCTGGGAGGAGAATTCCTAGAGAAAAGGGAAAATAAGATGGAGAGCCCAACTAGTGACTGGGCCCAATTATCAGTTGGGCCGATCCAGTACCTGTACTTTTGCTCTGGATCCATTTAGCTCCCAACCGTGAAAGGAATTGATAGAGAATGACTAGAGGTATCCAACCGACTAAAAGCGACTTCGATCTTTTTCTTTTTAAAAAAAGGATGTCGGACAAACTTGGGGGGACAGTGCGAACCTGAACAAATGATCCCTTCTCCCACTACTAATTGATCCTTCGACATTCTAGAAAAATTAAAATTCTATCAAACAGTGTATATATGGCACCCCTCTCTTCCACTGCTGCTGGTGGATTGTTGAGCAAAAAGGCCGACATAAGCAACATTTCTTAACGCACTTTTCAATTCAGATCATCAAAACATGATTGGTGAGGCGAAGTTTTCCAACGGCCTTCCATAATTTTTATAGTAAAAGATAGTGATGCTATCAAAAATCGTACCTGTCGACTTTCGAGCTTGACGACTGAGAATGAGCACGAACGAGGTCTTCCGGTACCTGAAACAAAGGCGTCGAGGTATGTCCTCGTCGCCCATCCGATACTTAAGTCAGAGAGAGAATTTATGAAGATAATATATATTGTAAATTGTGTAAAAACATACATTGATAATAGATGAGAATGATGTATTTATAGAGGTAGGTGGTTGACTCCTAGTAGGACTACAATGTCGTGATACCTAGGAGTCCTAGTGCAATTGGAAGTTGTAATGTAGTTGGGTTCGTATTACCCACGTGTTTGGATAGAAATGTGAATAGTGTTAGAATCTTTTAGAATGGGGTAATACATTCTCATAAGGACTTACTTCGTAGACCGATCCCGATAAGTATAAGTCCGAGGATATCAGGCTGGTTCTGGCTTAGATGTTACATGAACTCCTCGGGAATTCTCCGGGATTGGTATCATCAGTGGCCCCCGTGCATCCATGCCTGAGATCTGCCTTCGAGATTCCGGGGTAGATGCATATGACAGAGGGATGTTTAGAATTTGGGCATGTGCTGCTCAGCCTCTCGGTGTGGACTGAACAGCTATGAAGGAGGGCTGCTCAGCTTTTGAACTTGGGATGTGCCGCCATGCAAATGGGTTGCTCAGCTTCTTAAAGTGGGTTGAGCAGCCATGAAGGAGGGCTGCTTAGCATTTGAACTTGGGCTGTGCAGTCATGCAAAGTGGACTGAACAGCCACGAAGGAGGGCGGCTCAGCCTTTGAACTGGGT